TCTTAATTTCTGAGTTTCTGAATTTTTGAATTTCTGAATTTTTGAATTTCTGAAAAGTGAATCTTTTCCAATTTTTGAGTAAAATTACTGTTTCAAAAATTGAAAAAATGGAAACGATGAACTTGAAATCTCGTTTGTACTTTTGGTCCAAAAGTATTAGTTTTTTACATGCGTTTGATAAGAAATTTCCGGAAGATTACTGTATTTGATTTCTGATTTTCTAGATCACATAACTTTGCATAATGAGAAAAAGTACCCTCGATGTACCCTTTTTCGATGTACCCTTGGATCGTGGGCCCAGTGACTGACAATTTGTGAAATTTCGTAGAAATTTTGTTAATATTCCCGGAAAGCTAAACATTTGAGACAAAATGCTCGAAAAATCCCAGAAAACAGACCATGTTGAAGGGAGTTACGATCCTTTGAAAATTTGAAGAGACGCAGTGAAACTAGAGCGTTCTCCTTTCTCTGCGTCTCTCTCGCGAAACTTTTGAAGGCGCATAACTCGGTTCGTAGTGAACTGTTTTAAATGAGTTTTGTAGAATTTTGTAGATAGTTATCGGGATTTTATGATCGTGTGATTTGTAAATAAAACTTCTCAAAGTAGCTATTAATTTAGTTGCAAATAAATTGAAACAGAAAAAAAAATTGCGTTTGTTTTACAATTTTTATTCAAAAGTTCACTTTTTCATACCATTAGTGTTGAAAATGCCAAACTTCTCCTCAAAACTTTAATCGTGCCTAACTCGGTTTCTAATAGATCATTTCAATTAACATTTTGAAGAAAAACATGGGTTAAAAATTTTGAGAATGCGAAGAAATTTTTCCTACCTACTTTTTGGAAAATTTGAAACAGGTGTTATTTTTGAGTTATTAGTTTTGTTCATATTCAAAAAAAATGCTAAAAAAATGCCACAAAATGCTCCAAAAATGTTATGAGCTTTTTCAAATTTTGAAGAGACGCAGAGAAATGAGAATTCTCTGCTTTCTCTGCGTCTCTCGCAAAACTTTGAAGGCTTATAACTCGCTCCAAAATGGGCCGTTTTCAATGGTTTTTGGGTCATTTTGGAAGCTTCCATACTAGAAAAACAAATTCGTGTACCAACTGGCCAATTCGCTAAAAGTTTCCTCCCTGGTTAAATTTCCTCCCAAATTTTGAAACAGAAATTCATAGGTTTTTTGAGACATGTTAATTTCTGTTTATGTTCAGAAAAAGCCGAAAATTTGCCTCAAAATAGTCCAAAAATCATGGAAAACGGACCATTTTAAATCGAGTTATGATTCATTGAACTTAAGAAGAGACGCAGAGAAACGAGACTTTTCTGGTTTCTCTGCGTCTCTCTAAATCTTCAAAGGCTCGTAACTTCCTTCAAAATGGTCCGTTTTCAATGGTTTTTGAACCAATTTTTGAAAAATTTAGAAAACTTCAATTATTTTTTTTAACATCAACATAAAAAAACTGTTTTGAAATCCCACCTAAAATCTCCTTCATACGCCGTACTCTGCGCCGGTCTGTATCCATATGTTCGATAGTTTTGATTCCCATTTCCGGGTCCTGGTGGACCTCCCGGACCACCGAATCCCATTCTCTGATGTGCAGGCACTCCAACAGATCCACTTTTCATAGTCAAGTCTTCATCGGAAATCAGCATATTCACATTTTGTGTCTCATAATCGTATTCTGTTCGTGGATCGATTCCAGCCATACTTGGATGGTAAATTGGTCCCAGTTTTTGAGGATAAGAATGTGAGAAATTTGATGCATTTCGTTGTGCGGTTTTGTAGCGACTCCAGAAGACACAGACTGCACATAGGGCTATGATAGCTCCAAGAGCAATGGCAACTGCTAGAATGAGCAATAGAATATTGGACGTCTTCCAGTTGGTTGATAGAATTCCTCCCGCTCCAGACACACTTCCCTCCTCGCCAGCCTGGAAAAAGTATTTTTTTTTCTGTATGAATTACTTTTTAATATTTTTAACTATTTCAAAAAGTTCTCATATTTGTTGAAATTCCACATTAATACAATCCTATGTTTCTAGTTTTTTTCCTTCAAAATGCCCCAAAAATCAATAAAAACGGTCCACTACAAACCGAGTTATGAGCCTCTGAAGTTTAGAAGAAACGCAGAGAAAAAAGAAAAGAAACCAGAGAACTCTCGTTTCTCTGCGTCTCTTCTAAACTTTAAAGGCCCATAACTCGGTTTGTAGTGGACCGTTTTTATTGATTTTTAGCGCATTTTAAAGCTAAGAAACTGGATAATCCAATACGAATCTTTTGATTTTTCAAATACTCATTTTTACGAAAACAAATGCGATTTTTCATTTTGCTGAACAATGAAAAACTCATAGGATCACTGATTTGAAAAAGTACTGTTTCAAAATTCGTATAATTTTGAACCAGTAAGAAATTACAACTCTCTGTTTGAAATCCAAACCAAAAAATCATATGTTGAGTCCTTCAAAACCTTTCCAGAATGTTTCAATTTGTCTGAAAATTCCAGACTATACTAATCAAAAATAGAGCTTCATTTTGTAATTGACAATTTTTTTCTAGCTACGGTAATTTTGGATATATGCACCTTTAAAGAAGGAAAGGGGACAATCCTGATGTCTGCCTGCGCAATTAATTTAAAGGCGCATATCTTTAGAAATACCGTAGCTATAAAAAAGTTGACAGCTACAAAATTAAAGCTCTATTTTTGTTAAGGAACTTCTGAAATTTTCAGACGAATCCAAAAAATGTTCCCACTTTTGCAGGGCTTGAAAATTGACTACTTTTTAGATCCGTGAAAAGCACTCACATCTTCCGAAATTCTCTCCAATCTGAACCACGGTTGCACTTTTCCAGCGATCAATTGAACATTCGACGTTTCGAAAAGTTTACGAATTTCTTGTTTTTTACAAATCTTCTTGGTTGTTGGATTCACAGCGTACCAGTAGATGTCGGTTCGGATCTGGAAGAAAAAATTGATAAAATTGTGTATAAAATGGCTCAAAAATCTTATGAAACGGACCACATTGAAGCGAGTTATCTCGAGTTCTCTAGTTTCTCCGCGTCTCTTTTAAACTTCAAAAATGCATAAATCGCTTTAAAATGGTTTGTTTTTTGTAATGTTTGGCGCAAGATACTGAAAAATTAAACATTTCATGAGTTTGACATTTCTAGGAGATATTCTTATCATTTTCAAAAAATAAAGATTTTTTTCAGTATTTTTGCTCATACGGTAATAGGACATTAAAAAAATCTATCAGAACTTTTCGAAATCCAAAGATTGGAGAAAGTAAAGATACGAAGACAAAAAATAATTTCTTATTTTATTTGATTTTCGAAATTTTCGAAAAATCAAAAAATTTGCTACAAATCAGTTCAAAAATCAATTGAAACTGACTATTTTGAAGCGAGTTACGAGCTTTTCAACTTTTTAAGAGACGCAGAGAAGCGAGAGTGTTCTCGTTTCTCTGCGTCTCTTCAAAAGTTTGATGGCTCATAATTCCCTTCAAAATAGTCTGTTTCTTGTAGTTTTTCGACTGTTTCGAAAAAAATTACTGTTTCAACTTTTTCAAAACTAAATAGAAATTGGTTCTCAAAACTTCTGCCGCTACGATCAATTCAAAAAAAACATTCACATGTTAGATATTTCCCAAAAATACAAAATCGTAAATCCCATGAAATTATATACGAAATGACCAAAAAATCCATCAAAACGGTTCAGTACAAACCGAGTTACAGCTTTGGAAATTCTGAAAAGACGCAGAGAAACTAAAGTTCTCTAGTTTCTCTGCTTCTCTTCTAAACTTCACCAGCCCATAGCTAGCTTCAAAATGAAGCTAGCAACTTGATTTTTGGCTCATTTTAGACAAAATTCTTCAGATTTTAAGCTGTTATAAAAGAAAGGAAAACTCACTTGATTCTCAATCGCTGTATGCTCAATCATTTTCTCAATTGTCAACAGGTTACAACTTCCAGTGAACTGTCGAATCGATTTCACCAAATCCTTCTCATGCTTCTTCAATTGTTGTGGATTTAGACCATAAATGATCATTTTGAATCTGTTGGTGGAGCCAATTACATTAACCACAACGTCTGCTTTAGAGCACAGTTGCTGACCGGAAATTGGGGAGTCACAGGCGGAAACCTGGAGAAAATTGAATTTCAGTTACTGTATTTTCTTTTTTAGGAGCCCACCCAAACCTAAAACTTTGAGCTCAATTATCTCGATTCCCATAAAAGATACCAAAAATTGGTAAATTGATAAAATGCGTATCATGATATTACTAAATTTTTATCAGTTGACAAAACTTTACTATCTTTTCTAGAAATCGAGATAATTGAGCTTAAAGTTTAAGGTCTGGGTGGGCTTCTATTAAAGGAAATACGGTATATTCCTGAAGCTAAAAACTTGAACACTCACCCTAAACTCGAAAAATTGGAGCCGATTCCTGCTCAAAATCGTCGACATGCTCTGTTTTGTGCTAATTTCACCGAATGGAGAAATCGAAAAGTATTTGGAATGGGCGGAGAGGGGATCCAGGGCGTAGTTGACAAGACTCGAGTTTCCAAGATCCGCATCTTCGGCCTGAAATTTTAGACAATTAGCAAAGTGGAAAAAAAGGAAAATTATTGTGCGTTAAAATAGGCCAAAATCCACAGAAAACGGTCGATATTGAAGGGAGTTATAAGCTTCTGAAGTTTAGAAGATACGCAGAGAAACGAGAACACTCTCGTTTCTCTGCGTCTCTTCGAAACTTCAAACACTCATAACTCGGGTTGCAGTGCACTGTTTTTAATGATTTTTGACTCAAAAAGCGCTTATTTCATACAAACTGTTTAAAACAGTTTTCCAGCTAGTTTCTAAAATTTTTTGAAACAGCATACTTGTAAAATTCCGGGCCGGCCCGCCAAAGCCCGGGCCGGGCCTGAGGAAAATTTCAAGGCCCGGGCCCGGTAGCAAAAATTTTGTCATTTTGAACCGAATTTTGAGCTCTCAATACAATTTTTTTTGTGCTTTTTGGATTGTTTGTCTGTTTGATCAAAAATTATTTGAAAAAACTCGAAAACAATTTTTTGATCGAAAAAAATCACATAAGGGTCCCCCTTATGTGTTTTTTGAAATTTTCAGAACTTGTGGAATGACAGGCCCGCCGGGCCGGGCCTCCGAAATTCGGGAAAAAGCCCGGCCCGGCCCGCCCCGTTACAAGTATGTGAAACAGATTTTTTTCTCCATCAAAAAGTCAAAAACTCGGTAAAAAATGAGCCGCTAATCAATATCAACGGACCATTTTGAAGGGAGTTATGAGCTTTTAAAGTTAAGAAGAGACGCAGGGAAACGAGTGTTCTCTCGTTTCTCTGCGTCTCTTTCAAGACTTTCAAGGCTCATATCTCGGTTTGCAATGGCCCGTTGTAATCGATTTTCAGAGCGTTTTGGAGCAAAAAATCACAAAAACGAAAATAACAGAGTGGGAATTAGCGTTTGAGATTCATCTCATCTTGTTTTTGAAAGTTTTTGAAAAAGTTTTTTTTTGTGAAAAAATAGTCCAAAAATTAGCATTAAAACAGTCCAAAAACCACAAAAAACAGTCCTTTTGAATGAGACTTTTGGCCTATTAAAGTTTTGAGAGACGCAGAGAAACGAGAAAACTCTCGTTTCTTTGCGTCTCTTCTAACATTCAAAGGCTCATAGCTCCCTTCAAAATGGTCCGTTTTTATTGATTTTTAAGTCTTCTTGTAGAGGATTTTTTGATTTTTACGATTTGGTAATTCTGATAAAGTTTGAATACATTTCAAACTCATATTCCTCCTTTGAAACAGTACAAGTATTCCAATACTCACCTTGACAGTCAACACCCTTGTAAAAGCGTTTGCAACTGAAGAAACCGCTCCAAAATAGGTTGTTAGGCCCAAATCCGAATCATATACAAAACGTGGCACATTATCATTCACATCGAGTACCGTAATCGAAACCAGTGCGTAGTCAGTCTGCGATCCAGCGGTTACGGTAACGTTTAGGAGGTATCTGAAAATTATTGTTGTATAAAAAAGAAGTATCAAGTTAGAAGTTTTTTGAAAACAAATATTACAAAGTTTGAAACAGTAAAAATCATTTCCCCAAAGTTTCTGATATTTTTAGGAAGTTTTTTTTCCAGTTTTTAGATTTGAAAATGCGTCAAAATTCATCCAAATTGGCCGATTTTGAAGCGAGTTATGAGCCTCAAACGTTTTGAAGAGACGC